GTGGCTGACACGGGTTCGATTCTTCCGTCCCTCTCGGAGAGCCCGGCAAGCTACCTTGAGAGTATCTCACCCACACCGCAAAGCCTGGCAAGCTTCCCGTGACGTTTTTGATAGGCCAAACACAGTAACAAGTGTCACAATGGAGGCGTTACTGGACCCGCTCGAGCAAATCGATGAACATCGGGAGGACAGGGACAGTGACTTAGAGATATAAAAACGGACCTCCCTTCCATTCTCACCGGACAGTTCTACATCTCATCATTTTCCAGTGCCTTTTCCTCAGGTTCCCGTTAGGCACAGCCTGAGCGACCCCTCGCCGGCCTTTGAACCAAATGTTCCGTCCGATCTAGTTCCTTTCATCCTCTGCCTCATCCTCCAAGCGTTGTGCGCTCAGTGGCTTTCTGAGTCAGTTCATTTCCTGGCGTTAAGCCCGTATCTCTGGGGAGCAGATCTAAAACACCAGTGCTCTGATTGTTAAAATCTGTGTTCTGGGGCTGGAAAGATAGCACAGAGGGTCACAGTGCTCGCCTTGTCCACCACCAGTCCTGGTTTGGTCTCTCGGCATCACATGGGGTTCACCAAGCACCGCCAGGAGCAATTCTGGAGCACCGAGCCAGGAGTAACCCCTGAGCACTGGTGAAGGAGTTCCCCACACAAACAAAGAAACTAAAACAGGGCATGATTAGTATAAAGCATCAAATCTCCAGACAAGAGCAGTACCGGGGGCTGGAGCCATAGCAGTGGGGAGGACAGTTGCCTTGCCTGCGGCTGACCCGAGTTCGATCCCGGGCATCCCATAGGGTCCCCTGAGCACCGCCAGGAGTGATTCCTGAGTTGCAGAGCCAGGACTCAGCTCTGAGCATCACCAGGTGTGACACACAAAAAAGCAAAAAATAAATGAATAAATCATGGTCACTGTCCTCCCGTTGTTCATTAGTTTTCTCGAGTGGGCCCAGTAACGTCTCCATTGTGAGACTTGGTTGTTATTGTGTTTGGCATCTCGAATACGCCACAGGGAGCTTGCCAGGCTTTGCCGTGCGGGCGAGATACTCTTGGTAGCTTGCCGGGCTCTCCAAGAGGGGTGGAGGACTTGAACTCGGGTCGGCTATGTTGACTGCATCCAAGGCAAACACCCTACCCACTGTGCTATCACTCCAGCCCCAAACAAATAAATAAAAAGCCAATATAAGGACATCGAAAAGCAATTGGGGAGCTGGGAGTTAGTACGGTAATTCAGTGACATATCTGGCAAGTGCCCGATCCAAGTTTGATTCCTGGCATCATGTGGTGCCTCAAGAATTGTCGGGTTCAGGGCTGGTGTGATAATAAAGCAGGGAGGGCGTTGGCCTTGCACAGGCCGACCCGGGTTCGATCCCCGGCATCCCATAGGGTCCCCCGAGCACCGCCAGAGTGATTCCTGAGTGCAGAGCCAGGAGTCAGCCCTGAGCATCGCCGGGTGGGACCCAAAAAGCAATAAAATAAAATAAAATAAAATAGCGGTACCAAATGTTGACAGACAACCGTCAGAGATACTGCAACAGTACACCTCAGTCTGATGGATGGACACGGTGACCTCACATGTTCACGATCACGATCACGATCATCCTGTTGTTCGTCGATTGCCTCGAGCAGGCCCCAGTAACGTCTCCTTCGTCCTAGCCCTGAGATTTTAAAAAGTGCCATATTCAAGGCTCTTTCAGGGTTAGGAGAACGAGACCCATCATTGTTACTGGTATTTGGCATATTGGGTAACCCACGGGGAGTTTGCCAGACTCTGCCGTGTGGGCAGGTGACATTCGGTAGCCTGCCGGGTTGTCCAAAGTAAGAAAGAGATGTTTATCCCATGTTCATCGCCCGATAATGTGCCTTGGGCTCCTTCCTCAGCCTAGAGAGGAAGACGGGAGAAGTGGGTGTTTGTTAGAGAGGTCGGCCGTGTTCTCACTTGGCCGCTGAGGCTGCGGTTCATTGATTTGTCCTCACCACTGCCGGTGCTCGCGGTGAGGAGTTGGGCCCTTCCCTGCGATCAGCTGCACCCCCACCCTCTGCTCACACCATGTTGGCAACGCAAAGTAATCTGCAGAGCACCGACCGCAGCTCAGGGCGAGGTCGGGCCGGCGTTCAGGTGCTCACGATGGAGATTTAATTAGACTTGCAGTTCACAGGCTCAGACACGTGCTGTTTGTCTAGAAGAACTTTTTTTGGCATCATCGTCCCACCTGTATGTGAAGCCCAGCTAGCTGGTTTTTTTTTCCTCCAGAGCCACCTTGCTCTGTCGTAACCCAATTTCGGAGGATTTCCCCCGAAAACGTAGTGTCATGAGAAGATGCCACTTAGGTTGGTTCCAATGAGAAAAATGAAAAATAGTTTTTTGTTGGGGAATTGGGGAGGACAACCCTGGTGATGCTCAGGGCTGGCTCCTGGCTCTGCACTCCAGGATTTTATTCCGGGCAGCCTTGGGGACCCTATGGGGTGCTGGGGACCCAGCCCAGGTTGGCCATGTGCAAGGTAAGTGCCCTCCCCGCTGTGCAATCTCTCCGGCTCCTATTTTTATTTTAAATTTCATTTTCGGTTTTTCTATTTTTATTTTAAATTTCATTTTCGGTTTTTCTATTTTTATTTTAAATTTCATTTTCGGGTTTTTTTTTTTTTGGTTTTGGGCCACACTTGGCCTTGCTCAGGGCTTACTCCTGGCTCTGTACCCTGGGGTCATGGCAGGCTCCGGGGGACCCTATTGGATGCCGGGGGTTGGACCGGGTTAGGCTGTGTGCAAGGCAAGTGCCCTATTTTCTGTGACATCTCTTTGGACCCTGTATTCTTTCTTTTTTTTTTGAAAAACATGTTTTGGAGGGGTTTACTGAGACCCTTGGGGCTTGGGCTTTCTCACACAAATGCTTGGTCAGCTGGGCAGTAGGTCAGTGTGAGGCCAGTGCTTCTGCCCAGCTATCAGTCACTGGAGCCCCATGGGGTGATTCTTGGGGGATCATGGGGTGCTGTGGATCAGAGCTGGGTTGATAAGTCATGTCTCAACCTCCCTGAACCTCTCTCTGTCTCTGTGTCGCTCTGTCTCTCCGTCTCTGTCTCTGTGTCGCTCTGTCTCTCCGTCTCTGTCTCTGTGTCGCTCTGTCTCTCCGTCTCTGTCTCTGTGTTGCTCTGTCTCTCTGTCTCTGTCTCGCTCTGTCTCTCTGTCTCTTTCTCTGTGTTACTCTGTCTCTCCGTTTCTGTCTCTCTGTTGCTCTTTATCTCTCTGTTTCTGTCTCTCTCTGTCTCTCTGTCTTTCTCTGTCTCTGTTGTTCTGTCTCTCTGTGTTGCTCTGTCTCTGTGTCTCTGTCTCTCTATCTCTCTCTGTTTCTGTGTCTCTCTGTCTCTGACTCTCTCTGTGTTTCTCTGTCTCTCTGTCTCTCTATCTCTCTCTGTTGCTGTCTCTCTCTGTCTGTCTCTCTGTCTCTGTCTCTGTCTCTGTCTCTCTTTCTCTCTCTCTCTGGCCCCTTGAGTATCTTTAACATGCAATCCTTGCTTCCCTTGTTCCTCTCAGTGCTTGTTTACGCCATCAGGCAGAAAACTGTTTTCTTGGCATTCCCACTGTTTTTCAGTCTCCGTGGACTTCACCATACTCTGCTCTTTTATAATGAACGCAAACATTTTTCAATAATGAACAGACCCGATAGACTGGAAATAGCTTTGGGGGGTTGCCAGGTGGGTAATCTTTCCTACACTGCACCTTGGAAGCAAACCAGGAAGGAAGAAGAAGGTGAGGGAGGGACACTGGCCAGGCCGTGTGTCTCTAGACTTCTTTGCATTTATTTTTTTCTCTAGAGGAATGTAAAACTTGCTTAAAGTGGCCTTACTTTGAATTTGTTATTCTGAAACTCGAAACGTGGGCGTGGGTTCAAATAGCATCGGGTTGTGAACGCATGGTCTTCACTGGGTATAGAAAGTTTTATGGGGGCTGGAGCGATAGCACAGCGGGTAGGGTGTTTGCCTTGCACGCAGCCAATCTGGGTTCAATTCCCAGCATCCCATAGGGTCCCTTGAGCACCACCAGGAGTGATTCCTGACTACCTATGATCTAGGATTAACCTCTGTGCATTGCTGGGTGTGACCCAAAAAGCAAAAAAAAAAAAAAAGAAAGTTTTTTGTTTTCTTTATGTTGGAGATAGGGCTGGAGCGATAGCACAGCGGTAGGGCATCTGCCTTGCACGCAGCCAACATGGCCGACCCGAGTTTGATTCCTCCGCCCCTCTCGGAGAGCCCGGCAAGCTACCGAGAGTATTCGATATGCCAGACACAGTAACAACAAAGTCTCCAATGGAGACGTTACTGGGCCCGCTCGAGCAAATCGACGATCAACGGGAGGGCCTTTACCTTTACCTTATGTTGGAGATAAACCCTCAGCCTCCCAACCAGCAACGCTGGAGCTAACTCTGAACACAGTGGTATAAAACAATCCCTGAGCTCAACCCCAACTTCCTGAAATTGGGGGTTAGCCCAGATGGGGTCGTGAAACTATTAGAAATTGGTTTTAAAGGCCGGGGAGATAGTCCAGAGGTTAAGATGCAGCGGTTACGGTTCATTTTGGTGGTCTCTGTTTGATTTGTCTACTTACATATCTATATGAGACTTGTTGTTACTGTTTTTGGCATATCAGATACGCCACCGGGAGCTTGCCAGGCTCTGCCGTGTGGGCGGGATACTCTCGGTAGCTTGCCAGGCTCTCTGAGAGGGACGGAGGAATCGAACCTGGGTCAGCCGCGTGCAAGGCAAACGCCCTACCTGCTGTGCTATTGCTCCAAAAACAGTAACAATAAATCTCGCAATGGACACGTTCCTGGTGCCCACTCGAGCAAATAGATGAACAACGGGACAACAGTGCTACAGTGCATATATCAATATACCAGGGGTCACTCATGGGGGAAGAACCAGGAGCCGGGCTAGCCCCCGCACCCGGGTAAGTCAGACACGCGGAACCGGCCTGCACTTACTGTCTGACTTTCCACTCGCAGGTACTGAAGTGGGTCGAAGAGGCGGTCCAGGCTTCCAAAGTCCACCTCTTATCCACAGACCACTTGGAGCAGGCTGTTCATACCTGGAAGATTCCTTTTGACCCCAGCCTCAAGGAGGTCACCGTGTCCCTGAGTGGGTCTTCCCCCATGATCGAGATCCGCAATCCTGCAGGTGAGACAGAGCCAACATCTGCTGTGAGAAAGACCAAGCCCTTGAGGCCGGCCACAGGGCTAGGACTGCAAGGAGGGCACTGGCCTGGCACGAAGCCAGCCGGGGTCAGTACCACACGGCAGGGGCCCCCGAGCACCACCAGGCGTCTTCCCTGAGCACTGAGCCAGGAGTAAGTCTTGAGCATCACCAGGTGGGGTCCAACCCCCTCCTCCCACCACAAACAAACCAAAACACAACAACCAACCCCAAAATACTACATACAAATCCCATGAAAGATGAAAGTCTTTTTTTCTTCTGATTTTAATTTATTTTTATTTTTATATATTTTTTCTTTTTTGGGTCCCACCCGGCGATGCTCAGGGCTAACTCCTGGCTCTACTCAGGAATTGCTCCTGGTGGTGCTCGGGGGACCTTAGGGGATGCTGGGGATCGAACCCGGATCAGCCACATGCCAGGCAAACACCCTACCTGCTGTACTATGGCTCCAGCCTCTTCTTTTAATTTTTAAAAGCTTTATTATTTTTTGCTCGAGCGGGCCCAGTAACGTCTCCATTGGAGACTTTGTTGTTACTGTATTAAAAATCGCTGGAGCGATAGCACAGCGGGTAGGGCGTTCGCCTTACAAGCGGCCAACATGGCCAACCCGAGTTCGATTCCTCCGCCCCTCTCGGAGAGCCCGGCAAGCTACCGAGAGTATTTGATATGCCAGACACAGTAACAACAAAGTCTCCAATGGAGACGTTACTGGGCCCGCTCGAGCAAATCGACGATCAACGGGAGGGCCTTTACCTTTACCTTTATTTGCAAAATATTTCTGTTTCTGTTGAGGTGTTAATATAGTTACCTCATATTTTTAACTACTTTATAAGTATTTGTAAATGGCAGTGTTACTTTTTTTTTAACTTGATTTGTATCTTAGAAAATTACTCACAACTAAAAATAAAAAGCTTTTTTTTTTTTTTTTTTGCTTTTTGGGTTACACCTGGTAATGCACAGGGGTTGCTCCTGGCTCTGCACTCAGAAATTACTCCTGGCAGTGCTCAGGGGACCATATGGGATGCTGGGAATCGAACCCAGGTTGGCCGCATGCAAGGCAAACGCGCTACCCACTGTGCCATCGCTCCAACCCGCCCCCCCCCAAAAAAAACAGCTTTTCAAAGTGTCTTCAGACCCCATCCAGATGAGCTATCACAATGACTTTTACAAAAACGAGCAAAATCAAATTGTCAAGACTTCTCTTGATTTTTTGTTTCGTTTTTCACCCATTGTAAATGCTTGGAACTCTGCAAGTGAAGTTTATTTTGGATTAAACCGTGTTTTACACACATGTGTATCGGGTAATCTACGTTACAAATGTCTATTGCTAATAGGCAGGATTTAGAAAAAGAGTGTACTCTGGGGACTGGAGCAACAGCACAGCGGGGAGGGCATTTGCCTTGCACGTGGCCGACCCGGGTTCGATCCCTGGCATCCCATAGGGTCCCCCGAGCACCACCAGGAGTGATTCCTGAGTGCAGAGCCGGGAGTCAGCCCTGAGCATCGCCGGGTGGGACCCAAAAAGAAAAAGAAAAAAGAGTGTTCTCATTTTTTCCCCCCGTCTCTCTTACAGGCAAGCTGATCAAAAAGGGTTTTGGCCTGAATGAGCTGTTGAACATTCAGAACTCAGCCAAAGTGGTGAACATCAAGGACCCCGAACCTGGGCTCTGGACAGTGAAGGTTTGTGTATCGCCGTGAGGGGGTGACCCGTGCTTCCTTCCTGTCTCCTGTTGCCATCCAACTTGCTTTTACTCAAAAGTGGGGCTTGGTGTCTTCGGAAGAGGGAAGGGTCTTAATCTCTCGAATTTGATCGTGGAGAGTGTGACTGGGTGTAGAGGATGGAGGTAACGCTTAGCCTGCTCAGATTTCTTTCAAAACCGTTTCTTTCTGGGTCCCACCCACGATGCTCAGACCTGACTCCTGGCTCTGCACTCAGGGATCACTCCTGGCGGTGCTCGGGGGACCCTATGGGATGCTGAGGATCGAACCCAGGTGGGCCACGTGCTAGGCAAACGCCCTCCCTGCTGTGCTGTCACTCCAGCCCTTCATACTATTCTTTTAAAAAATTAATTGATATTTGGGGGGTCCCACCCAGCGATGCTCAGGGCAGACGCCTGGCTCTGCACTCAGGAAATCACTCCTGGCGGAGCTCGGGGGACCCTATGGGATGCCGGGCATCGAACCCGGGTCGACCGTGTGTAAGGCTTGGTTGAGCTGAACCCCTGGCGATGCAGCTACCCCTAAGCTCCCGGAAGGAGCCCTGGTATCCCCTCTGCCCCCAACGCCCCCCTGGCTGAGCACTTCTGGGCATGGTCCCAGCTGGTTTCTGCGGAAAAATACAGACACCCACTCACTTTCCCAACTTAAAGAGACAAAATTTGTTGGTCTCATATTGTTACTTTATATTCCGCAAATGCTTGCAGTCCTTCGATGCCCACCCCTCTGTCTCTCAGACTCATTTCACTCAGCCTGATATTCTCCTTGTTCATCCTCTTCTATGCAAATTCCCTGAGCCCCCTTGGACAGAACCCTGGAATCCCCTTAGCACCCCTTCAGGCTTTCACAGGGACAAAAGGTTTCTCTTGGTCCAGGATTATCTGTTAAGACTCAGTCGTTCAACGCAGCAGCCCTGGGGTGAGGTTTCTGTTAAGTAGATTCGGATGAAGTGTCTTGAGATAAAAAGCCACCCCCAGCCGGGAAGGGAATAAACTCAGCCGCAGATTACAGGGAGATTCTTACAGTGAGCGTGAATATCTAGTCTGAGATTGTGAAGCCCGTTGTCAAGAGGCGGAAGCAGGGTGCCCGGGACCCATGTTTTTGGGTACCAACAGCATCATTAAAGCCGCAGCCCACCCAGGACGCCGGCGTTGCCCCTTCCTGTGCTTTTTCACCTGGTGATTCCGTGCCAGCCTGCACGCGGGCCCAGGTGTGGGATTTAAGTGGATTAGACGCCAGGTTCATTGCGACATTCTGGGTCAGTGGAATGCTTTCGAGTCGGGTTTGTTATTTCCTTCTGGAAAATGTCCCAGTTCAGTTTGGTCTGCCGGGATCAGATTGTCAACCCAGTGGAATGTTTCAATCCTTCTTTAGAAAATATACCTGTGCACTCTTGTAGATAAATAATGCGTGTGTGTCTGAACATATGTTTAAACAGCTTATTCTCTGCTCTAAGATCAAGCTCCTCTGAGCAGCCGTGGCTTAATAAATGTTGTGTTTACTTATACCTAGCTGGCTCGATTCTACCTTTTGTTTCTGGAACATTGCCCGTTCCAGGACTTCTTAAACTTTCTCTTGACTTGCAACTCCTCCCCCCCTTTTTTGTTGCTTTTTGGGTCCTACCCGGCGATGCTCAGGGGTTACTCCTGGTTCTGCACTCAGGAATTACTCCGGGCGGTGCTCAGGGGACCCTATGGGATGCTGGGAATCGAACCTGAGTTGGCTGCGTGCAAGGTAAACACCCTCCCCGCTGTGCTATCACATCAGCCCTGCAACTCCCTTTTTGCCCGAGAATTTTTTTTTTCATTTTGGCTCACACTTAGCGATGCACAGGGGTTCCTCCTGTTTCTCTGCTCAGGAATTACTCCGAGTGGTGCTCGGGGGACCCTATGGGATGCTGGGAATCGAGCCCGGGTCAGCTACGTGCAAGGCAAACGCCCTCCCCACTGTGCTATCGCTCCAGCCCCTTGCCCGAGACTTTTAAACGCAGCCCTGGGTAGATTGGTATATGAAGCAGGTATGAAAAAATCAAACCTTCAGTGCTCATAAACGATTTTGGGATTTCATTGGAGACTAGTGTGGAAGATACCTCAGGGCCTCCAAGACCATTACGAGGTCCAGAGGTTTAGAAGTAGGGTCACAGCGAATCCATAAGGAATCTGGCATTGTTAATTGGTCCTAGGCGACTTCACGGAAAAGCACTGTAAGGAACTTGGGTGATTTGGTATCAACCATGAGTTCCCAGGTAGTAAGTGTCGATGGAACCATAAGTTAGCACTGTAGCACTGTCCTCCCATGGTTCATCGATTTGCTCGAGCAGGCACCAGGCACGTCTCCCTGGCGAGACTTGTTGTGACTGTGTTTGGCATCTCGAAGACGCCATGGGGAGCTTGCCAGGCTCTGCCGTGTGGGCGGGATACTCTCGGTAGCTTGCCAGGCTCTCCGAGAGAGACAGAGGAATCGAACCCAGGTCGGCCACTTGCGAGGCAAACGCCCTACCCTCTGTGCTATCGCTCCAGCCGTAAGTTACCAGCATTTACTCTCTTTGAATAGAGAGAGCTACTGACTGGCCTTGAGAAGCAGAGGCAGAACTCCACAGCCCTGAGGCACGGCTGGGTCAGAACGGAGCCTGTGGGTCCCTGGAGCTCTCCATGGTCCTTCTTGCTAAGAGGGGCCAGAGGTTCTGTGGACCGGCCAGAACTGGACTGGTTTCCTTATTTGTAGCAAACATTTCTTGGAGCTTTCACTTTTTTTCCCTTTTGGGTTACACCCAGCAATGCTCAAGGGTTCCTCCCGGCTTTGCACTCAAGAATTACTCCTGGTGATGCTTGGGGGACGATATGGGAGCCGGGGATCGAACCCGAGTCGACCGCACGCAAGGCAAATGTCCTATCTGCTGTGCTGTCGCTCCAGCCCCTCACTTCTTTTTTTTAAATTTAAAATTTGTTTTTATAAAGTAGTTCACCATATTTGATGACATTTGATATCCAAACACCCATCCCACCCCCATGACACCTTCCCACCACCATATTTCGGGTGTTTCCATCCCGAGCCCCAACCCCTGCCCCCAAAGCAGAACCAAAATCATTGATTTTTGTATCGTTTGTTATAAAAACCGCCGGATATGCTCCAGGAAACTTTCCCTAGAGGAGAGCGTGTGAAGGTTGTTGTATTTCACCCAGGGGCCATTAAAGCCCTTTTATAAGAGATTAATAACATGTGGTTCAAGGTTGAGCCTCGTGTGCTTTTGTGACTGTAGCCCTGTCGCACTGTCCTCCCGTTGTTCCTCGATTTGCTTGCACGGGCACCAGTCACGTCTCCATGGTGAGACTTGTGACTGTGTTTGGCATCTCGAAGACGCCCCGGGGAGCTTGCCAGGCTTTGCCGTGTGGGTGGGATCCTCTCGGTAGCTTGCTGGGCTCTCGGAGAGGGGTGGAGGAATCGAACCCGGATTTTCTGGGCCGGCTGTGTACAAGGCAAATGCCCTACTGCTGTGCTATCGCTCCAGCCCTGGTTTCTCTTCAGAACACATAAATTTTTCGCCTTTTATATGTATATTTGTATAAATATATTTCCCTCTAAGGTTGCTTGCCTTCTACTTTATTTTGTTTTTTTTTTAATTTATCTTTTAATTTTCATTAGTGAAACACCATGAGGTACAGTTGTAGACTTACAAATTTTTGTGCTTGGGTTTTGATTATACAGTGATCCAGTACGCATCCCTCCACCAGTGCCCATTTCCCACCACCACGGGTCCCAGCATCCCTCCCACACCCATCCCCCCCATCCCACCCTGCCTCTGTGGCAAGGCATTCCCTTTTGTTCTCTCTCTCCTTCTGGGTGTTGTGGTTTGCAAAAGAGACAATGGGTGACAATCATGTTGGGTCTAGAGTCTACTTTCAGCATGCTTCTCCCACCCTGGGAGGACCCTCCCAACACCCTTTACTTGGTGCTCCCTTCTCTATCTGAGCTCCCTTTTCCTCTAGCACGTGTGGCTGGCCTCCAACCCATGGCGCAAAATTCCTGGTACTAATCTCGGCCATTCTCGGATTACCTTTAAACCCCATCGAATGTGGTGCGCTGCTCTTGGTCTGTCAGTGGTGTGGGTATAAGATGTTGTGCGGCTGCGAATGGGGTCCAGGAATTGGCTCCCTCGTGGGTGGGGCTTGGCGAGAGCATGTGGGGAGCAGCCATGAGCCTGGTGGCGGTTGAGTTCTGGAGGTTTTCGGTGGCCAGGGCTGGGTCCCTTGGGGCGGGGAGGGGCCTCACCTGCCCCCTACCGGGGTGCCCCGAGTGAAACCGCCTGGTGCGGGGTCCGGTGGCATGGTTATGGTCAGAGCTTTCAATTTTTGAGATTTCATTTCCACAGCTTTCATTTCCTATAAATTTTATTTCTGGAAGCTTCCATTCCTATAGATTTTATTTCCAGAAGCTTCTATTCCCTGTAGACTTCATTTCTGGAAGCCTCCATTCCTAAGATTTTATTTCCATAACTTTCATTCCTATAGATTTCATTTCCAGAAGCTTTCATTCCTATAGCTTTTATTTCTGGAAGCTTTCATTCCCTATAGATTTCATTTCCGGAAGCTTCCATTCCCGTAGACTTCATTTCTGGAAGTTTCCATTCCTATAGATTTCATTTCCATAGCTTTTGTTCCCTATAGATTTTATTTCTGGAAGCTTCCATTTCTATAGATTTCATTTCTGGAAGCTTCCATTCCCATAGACTTCATTTCGGGACGCTTCCATTCCTATAGATTTTATTTCCATAGCTTTCATTCCTATAGATTTCATTTCCATAGCTTTTGTTCCCTATAGATTTTATTTCTGGAAGCTTCCATTCCTATAGAGTTCATTTCCGGAAGCTTCCATTCCCATAGACTTCATTTCTGGAAGCTTCCATTCCTATAGATTTTATTTCCATAGCTTTCATTCCTATAGATTTCATTTCCATACCTTTCATT